ATGGGGAATGACAGTGCTGGCAATGTATTCGCTATACAATTGCCTATATTCCATATATTTACCCTTTTATTATTCATTATTCACTTCAGTTCATAGCTAAGGGCCGTATCGTTAGTTATTCCTACAATTGTAGGACGCCTATATGGCCTCCTTGATTTTCATAGTATTTTCTCTCCTCCAGAAAGGACCTGGAATTTATAAATTTCTACTGCTCCGTATCTGCGTCAGCGCTCTCCTATTGGGAGGATAGGTAATCTTTTTGAATCGCAGGTAATTTCAGGCTGATATAACAGATGATATAAGTCAAAAGCATGAAGATGCAAATTCTTATTTGTAATATAACCTCAAAATAGAACGCTGACACGGAATAGAAGAAAACTATGAGGATCAAGGATGCTATAAAAGCGTCCTACAATTCTAGGAACCACTGACCATACGGGCCCATGACAGGACAAAGTCTGTCGGGTCAGTTAGTTTTTTATAATAGTCGTGATCTTCATTCTCAGTTTGACATTCAAATCTATATTTCTATCAGTAGCTCATCAAACAAAGATAGTGGATAAGGTGCAACTCTCCCCGTAGTATTAAGAGATTTTATGGTGACACAGGATACATATCGTGTGAAAATAAAGATTATACCATGGTCAATACGCTAATGCATGATCAGCTTGATTATCAGTGCCTTATGTAATTATAGTTTTCTTTTTGTTTTTGGATCAAGGTTACTCTGTGGCATTAAGATATCTTTGAAAGCTGTCTCTGATTACCCATTTCGAGAAATTCATCTTGATGCAGCTCTTTAATGGAGCACCACATGAGCACACTATGTGAAAGCTTGTCATCCGCTTGCTTTGCAATTCGACAAGTATGAGACAGTTATAATTTCATGTTATCATGCATAGTTTGCTTCTAGAGAAACATATGGCATCATTTCTTGTAGTACATCAAGTCTTGTGCAGGGGGTTCTTATACAAATATTGCAGAAAAGGGCATTGAGAACAATAGCTGATGTAGTACCGCGTACGTCGTGCAAAGAACTTTTCAAGAAGTATTATATAAACAGTTCTAAACATTACGTAACGTAAAATCAAATTTTTGTAACTTTTTAGTCAACTAAAATTATCATACTTATAACACACGTAATAATTCTGCTATAGTCATCCCCGCATATAATTTGGAAAAAGAACAAACTATTCTGGGCTCACAACTATATTGAAGATATTAAACTATTTGGGGGTGTACAAAAAGACGCTGATTACTTACTTCCTGAATAAGCCTTTTTAGAGTGTATCAGAATATTTGGAATCTTGAAGGTGATCTGTTAGGCATCTGCTGCTTGTGCTCTGAGGTAGCCTGCAGTTATCACATGCTACATTACTCTTCTGTAAAATTACAAAAATCCTTTGAGTGAGCATCGACGTTTCCTATGCCATGTATTTGGTCGACTGGAATACATTATCATTATTACTATACAGGTGTCTGAAAATTTTTGTGAGCTAATAATGGTAGAGAAAAACTAAGCCGCTCGATTAATAATGTAATAATGGAAATTAGTTAGCTAAAACTAGTTATAATTAGGAAATTCTAGTTTTAACATAGGTACAGAGTCAAAACTAGTTTCAAGTAGGCAAAACGTGTTATAAATAAAAACGGCTTTGTGGACAAAGACTTTATATCCAGCTACTAAAATAAAAACATGTAACATAAAAATCTATACTACTCGAAATCTCAGGTGTTCTAAGATTTGAAACTAGGCGTCATAAACTTCTATTGAGCTCAAAAAGAGATACCCAATGACATGCTATTGCAGGTGGGTACCAAAATTTGCATCATCCTTCATAAATATTTTTTATATTTTTTTAAACCACAGTAAGATAATTTTACTTTTACAAATAAATATGCGTTTGTAGCTAAATTAGGTGATATTATATCTTACACAAATCGTATAATTCTTTTCTGAATTGAGAGATATTTTACAAGAAGCTGACTATATTCATTAGATCCTTACTTCAAACACGCCTTCTCATTGGTCGAATTGGTACTATGGGCACACATTTAGCGCTCTGCATTAGTAAAATCGCACCTTAATAGATCACCCATTGTATGCGTCAACGGTCTAAGTTAGTTGCTCATACTGTAGCTAGCACTGAAACGATTAAACGGACTACTCTGTTATGAATACGTCGTTACAGTAATGAAAGACGAGCATTGTAAATGATCGATCGTGCTTGCAGACAATAAAGGTTGTTAAAAGTGCTGTCACAATATTCGCCGAGAACGACCGAGTACAAAGACTATCCTGCCCGTTTACTCCTGGTCGAAACAAATTTACAGTTTTCCGTTCTGCCGATGGCTGCAAAGAGCAGTTTTATTTCGAAGAAAGAAGGAGCGTGAAGCCATTTTCTGTTCGTTGTCCTACAGACTTTGATCTATTGTACCGCACAAAAAGCTTCGCTTGATTTTCATTTCGTCTCTTCTTTATGAAGAAAGCTAGAATACGTGGATACTAGATGGCTACATATTTTTCTTTCCATTTAGAATATATGTATCTACAGGTGAGCTATGCTGCTGCTCCATATACAAGGGTGGTCTGAGAAGTTTCCAACCTAACAAAGATACAAGACACTTTTTTATTTTAATTTTTGATTTTTCAAGATAGTCTCCTTGTAACTCTTCATACTTCTCCAGAGATGATCCCATCTTTGTAACCCGTCCAAATTTTTAGATTGGGGCTAGATCTGGTGAGTAAGGCGGATGGTCAAGCCGTAATTCGTGGATTTTAGCCATGTCAACCGCTGAGGTGTGAGACTGTGCGTTGTCTTGGTGAATCAGGATTTCCTTTTTCTACAAATGTGGACGTTTTTCTGTAAGCTCTGCCTTCAGCTTGTCAAGTAATGATGCGTAGTATGCTCCTGTAATGGCTTTTCCTTTTTGAAGATAACCGATTAAAATAACTCCATGACTATCCCCAAAAACAGTCGCCACCACTTTCCCAGCCAAAAAAAGAGTTTTTGCTTTTTTAGAGCCGTTTCACCATTGGAAACGCCTAAACGCGGCACCCTACTCGCGGACAGCTTTCTCATGCCTAAATGATTTAATATGTAGCAGACTCGTTTGACATATTCATAACCTCTGCTATCTCTCTCACTTTAATTCGGTGGTTGTTTAGCATCATCTGGTGAGCTTTGGCGACGTTTTCATCGATAGTTGCAGTTTTTGGACGTCTCGAACGTCCATAGTCTCTCAAGCTCTTACGGCCACGCTTAAATTAAGCTGCCCAACATTTCACAGTGGTAAATGATGGTGTACAGTCCCATACACAGAATCCAACTCATATCTGATTCACGCAGGCGTAGTGCCTTTCAAAAAAAAATATTTAATGACAGCTCAATACGCGATTTTTTCCATTTTCACAAAAACACTCTCATCAACTCACTCAATTGACTATTGCATAACAAATGCGCGTCCAAAATGACTGAAGCTTTGGTGAGTAACTGTCAACAGATGATCAACGAAATTTACTAGCCTTTACTTACGAGTGCTGCCATCTTTAGCGTGAGGTCGGAAACTTTTCAGAACACCCTGATACAGTATTAAAGTGTATCAGTATGCTGGATGGCACAGCTGGGAATGCAAAGAAAAGATATTTTCATTGAAGATATTTTGAAGATTATCTGTCAAGATGTATAAAAGTTTCCGTCAAGAAAGGATGCATAACCTAGTGGATCTAGACGGCAGTGGCGAAGCGTCCATGTAACCACTGTTACCATTGGCAGTATTTAAAAATCTTAACAAAAAATATTTCATGACTAGGTGCTGAGAAATAATTTCATTTATTTGTTTACCAACAGTGATATGTAATAGTAATCAGTAAATAGCAAATTAGTCCCACGAAAATAATGCGCCCTATAGGGTCTAGGTTTTGCGAACACGATGAAGCTGACTCGCCTCGACTTGGTTGTCAGTTGATACCATTTTCATTTATGGATACACTTGGTAGTCTGTCGGGGACCGTCGGAACCGGCTCGAGTCTGATCGCGGTCGCCCGAGTGCGTGGGGCGCTGCGACTAGTCTGTGGGCTTGTTACCATTTTTTGATTTGGTTACTCACTTCTCACTCGTTAGTAGCCATTTTGGTAACCGGCTGTAGTATGCGTACAATTAAACATGGATGAGTGTCGCTGCGTAATCGATCAACTACTTGAAAAGTCATTCGCCTTGTATAATTTTTAAGAAAAAAAGATCATTAAAAATGGAAGACCACCTCCTATTTTAGGTAATTTTAAAAAGAAATAAAAAATATTAGTTTGATGTTTTAAATTAAGTTGGTATATGGAAACTCTTGTTTATGTGGTTGTAAAAAAACAGGTTGTATTGTTGGCGATGTCTTCTGTTTTGATACAGAATAAAATGCAGCGGAGTCAACGACTTAAATAGTTTTAGGGCTCTAAAAGCAGACATGAAATTTCTCCGTTACATGTGAGATGTGTAGCCAATTTAATTCAGTTTGGCCAATCAAGACTCAAAAGTTGTCTTAACCAAGCTTTTAGGCAGCACACTTCTAGATACCGTAGGTTTTTTGGCAAAACAAGAATTACCGTTTATTTTGAAGGGGATGACTTTAACAATAGAGAAAATTACAGGGAATTGTTAAGATTCATTGCCAAAAAAGGTCAAACATTTTACGAACATCTAGAAACGTCGACTGTTTTTTCCGACGGCTTGGATTAGTCATAGCATAAGACGATGAGGTATATCAAGTGCCCCAGACGCTCAGTCCAGAAATGTTTACCTTAATTTAAAAACAGCTTAAATAAAATACCTGAAATAAGCAATAACTGATATTTGGGAGGTTCAAAATAAACTTTTTTTTTAATAAGAGTTTTCACATCTGGTTTTGGTAGCAGTTTAGGAAAAGTCACGCGTCGCCATTGCTAGACGGCATGAACAGAATGTGTGCAACACGACCCAGTGTTTCTCCAAATAGCGACTGCATGTTACCTCACCTGGCCCATGGTATCCTGTGGTACTGGTACCTTTAATATAATGAAAAATTATCGATAGAAGACAGTGAAAGCTCAAAAGCGAGTTGCAAACAGCTTATTTGAAGGAATTTAGTTGCTGCAGAATAATATCCACCATCTTAAGCTTTTGTATGCTGTGGGAGCCCCTCTTTGCCATAAAATCAAATGAAAAAAAGCTGTCTTATATCATACATTCGAACATCTGCGTATAACTTTTCAGTGGGATAAAGTTTCGGTTTTTTAAATATCATTTTTAGAATACTTTTTTGAAAAACATCTAAATTATAGATATGTGAGGAACATGCAGCTCCCCATGCTAATATACCATATGTGAGATGAGGCTCAATCAGTGCATGGTATAATGTTCGAAGATATTTTTCTGTCAATATATTCCCAAGGTATTTAATTTTGTAGGATACAAATTTAACTTTCTTTAAAATATTATTGACATGGATGTCCCATCGTAAGTGAGGATCCAAGACCACTCCAAGGTATTTTATGTTGGGCACTCTATTAATTTGCATTTTTTGATCATTAATATTGAAGGAGAAATTTGTGTAATTTGGCAGATGTCTAGCATAAGATCCAAATGGTAAAAAATGTGTTTTAGAGTAGTTAATGCTTAATTTTCTACTGTTAAACCACCGAATAATTTTGATAAAATCATTTTCAATTACATTTTTCAGATCAGACCAGTCAGTGCCTTCATATAATATTGCAGTATCATCTGCAAAACTAGTTATTTTGCCAACACAATTAATTTGGAAAATATCATTTAAATATATATTGAATAACAGCGGACCTAAGACAGTTCCTTGTGGGACACCACACTTAATATACATTTCTTTACTAAATGATCCTGATATCTGCACAGATTGTGGGCGATTTGACAAATAACTTTCGATCAGTGAGTACGCGTTTCCTCTGAAACCAATTCTCTCCAATGCTTCTAATAATAATTTGTGATTAACTGTGTCGAAAGCTTTCTTTAAATCAACAAAAATGCAGATTGAAGCGATTATGTTATCAATATTTTGATGTATTTGATTTACAATTTTAGTTATTGCGTCCGATGTAGTCTTCCCTTCTGTAAATCCATATTGATTTTCACTTAAAATTTTGAATTTTGTGAGGTATCGAATCATTCTAGTAGATAAAACTTTTTCAAAAACCTTTGCTACACTGGATATTATTGATATTGGTCTATAGTTGTTAACATCAGTTTTTGTTCCTGATTTATGTATCGGTATTATATTACCTTTTTTTAAAATTGAGGGATATATGCCAGATTCAAAGCATTTGTTGATTAGGTAAGTGAGTGGTTCTGTTATGTCCTCGGCTATAATTTTCAAATGCTCGCTTTTAATACCATCGAACCCAGGACTTTTCCGATTTTTTAAGGACATAACATACTTCACATTGCTCGACTTTATCCAAAATAAATGAGTTCAAAGTTCTTTTTGGAGGCTGAGTATTTTGTACATTTGCTTGTATATTACTTGCTAAATTTTCGCCTATGTCAGTAAAGAATTGTACAAATTCATCGCATATCTGTTGAGTATTTTTTAATACTGTTCCCGATGTTGTATTTAACTCAGTGACACACTCTTTAACTTTTGTTTTCCCAGTAATCTCATCAATAGTTGTCCAAAGCCGCTTAGGATCATTTAAGTTATTATTCAATTTATTTAGGTAATGTTTTCGTTTGGTTTGCCTTACAAGCTCTATAAATTTATTTTTATATTTTATAAGTACTGTTCGCAGTGATTGTAGACTATCTTGACCTTTTGAATGCTGTGGGTGCCCCTTTTTGCAAAAAAACCGCATGCTCAACAAATATTAAAACTTATTAAACTGTGAAAGAAATTGCTTGACAAACGGTCCTATAGAAAGCTAATTCTTGTAAAATGAAGTAAATAACTGGAAAATAATATACTAAACACGATGCTTTTGTCCGTACGATCAAAAGGGCAGCCAAACATGAACAGCTGTTTTGTGCTTCTTGGCTACTCATCAGCATGGTCTAGGCCTGGTCTCTTGTCTCTGGACAAATTAACAAAAACATCATAACTAGCCTCTATACTAGAGGTGCGGTTTATGGAAATAACACGCCAGGCCAGAATCGACCACTGCGGAAAGCGCATAGCTGATACTAGTTGGAACTGTTAAGGATCTCAATTCACGTTTAATAACCCAGTCACCACGTGATCGCTACTTGACTGATGATTCTGGCTGCCACTGAATAGGCTAAACGTGATGCTTACGTCCGTACGACCAAAAAAAAAATAATATGTTTCTTCTTCTACTTCTTCTTCTTCTGTAGAAATTACCGTTATTATAGTTTGAGCCAGAAATATTCTGCAGTGATTGTGGAAAGGTTTAATTGGATTTCAGAGCGGGCTGGGATCCGAGAGATTAGCGCGTCCAGCTGCTAATTAGTCGACTCCAAGACTGGAGGTTACGATTCTCCATTTCTGAAGTTGATTTCGAGTGATGGACGTCGTATTGCCTTTTCTCTCTATGACGCATCAGATTGATGCAAGATCAACATTGGTACATGGCATTGCTGGAGCTGGTTGATTCAATAATCTCTTATCAGTGGATGGTTGGAGGGTCAACGGTGGCCTAGTTGCCACTTGCCTTCCTACCGCATTAAAACTACTACCTAATTGGATACCATTATTTTCTCGATTAAAAAATTATAGCTTTGTTTATATGATCTTTCCATGCAATTTTCGGATGAAGCTTCTGCCCCAGTGATATTGACACTTTTTTTGTTTATAAAACCGCTACACTGGAATAATGCAATTTCCTGCATGAATTCGAATGCCTGCTGAATACTGAAGAAGCAAAAGAAGCTGGAGGCATAACGGTAAATATACCTTGATAATTTGTATGTTTGTTTGCCTAAGATTAGTAGACATGTGAAAAATAGCAGTTTGTCATACCGGACAGTTTTCGGTGTATGAAGTATGCCATGCAAGTGAGGGTTAGATAAAATGACAACGGGCATCGGGCACGGGTATCATGTAAAAAACCTATAAAACGTCCAAAAAAAAAACCTATAAGCTGTCATCTTGCGAACTAGGTAGTTTTTATGGCGCAAACAGTCATTCCAGGTTTGCTCACTAGGATCGTTGTGAACGTCCATCTATGGAGGGATCACTTGACTAAACTACACGCATTATTGGTTGCATGTGTTATATGAGGCCGAGTGGTTCTAGTCTGTAGTTTTTTATCTCTGAAAAGAAAGTTGGTTGAATAGCAAGATCCCATCTGGATGATTATGTGTATTGGTCTGCATATGTATAAAATCAGTGTTATTTGCTGTGTGAGAAAATCAGTACTGATTATGTTGCCAATGAAGTATATCTATTGGCTGTGCACGACGGGTTATTTTTATGTTGTGCTTTTTGAAGAGAGGTTATGTTCAAAGTTATAAATTACGAAAAACAGGAGTCTTACGGGAAATCCTCACCACGACCGCGTTGTGTGTAATTACTGGTAGCATGTATATATATGGCTTGTAATTCGACAGTGTACAGTGAATACCTATAATTATTTCTTATCTCTCTCATTTTTGGAATACAGCAAATTTGTCTAGGTAACTTCCAGAATGGATAAGAAAAAGTGACTGCGCAAATAATTTCTGGCTTTGAATCTCAATTAAGTGTACTTGAGACAAAAACCCAATGTAATTATCATCAACACATACAACTTGCAGCTTAGGCCTCCAGTAATACCATCTCAGAAGCAGATTTTACATCGTAGGCCAGTTAAATAGCCGAAACTGAGACAAAAGTGATAACATGGCCACAAAGTTATTTCCGCTGGCGTAACGGTGTAATAAAGGATTGCGAATATTGTTGTATGAATTTGGTTTTCCGGAAACCAGCCGTTTTTTGTAAATCAGCGAAAAACCCGAAAAACCTCTTTTTCGCTGAAACGGCTGAGGATATCTGGGATTTTTTTACACGTAATTTTTTCTAATTTTTGGGCCATCAATAAAGGTCTCTACAAATTTTTCGCTAAATTGCTTAGTTTTCGCGCTACAGCTTGCTGATGGCTTGTGGACGAGGGGGTTTGCGGGGACAGAGGCGGCGTACCTGCATACCACCAAGCTGCCGCCACACCGCCTACGCGTTGACGACGCAGACGATCACTTACTATATGGTAAGGGTTATTCAGTAATAGTAGAGTTGAATTTCGAACCCTGAGCTCGCTTGTCAGTTTGGCGTTCACCGACTTTTACGAAAGAACTAATTTTCGAAGTTTATGCGTTTAAGTATGTGGAGTAATTTCTCTTCAATTGCTTATCGATTGACTGGATAAGTGAGGTAAGTATGTGCACATTTTAGAATTGAAATTAAATATTTTTTTCCGTAATTTTATTGGAGACAAGGAATTAAGGACAAAGCCAACCTAAAATTCGAAAAGTTATCCGCCATGGATTTTTTAACGAAATTTGTTTTCATTTTCCAATGTTAGTATAGTATTTTTTAATAATAAGTAGTGCAGTCCAAATTCAGTATATGTTGTCCAAAATTCAGCATGTCTTGGAATTCCATTAGCACTATGTTCTGATATTAATAACAAAAATCAGACAAATTAGACTGACTGGATCGAAAATTGCATTACACTTACTGGATACCGATTCTCACTGAAATTGTTTCTGTTATTCAATAGGAATAAAATGCAGCAAAATAGTAACTGCGCCATTTGCAGTTATCCGTTGGCGCGCGGCAATTGCAGGATCGTGGGGAAGAAGGGAATTAGTACACTGATCACACAGAGCAAACGCGTGGAAGACAAAAATGGTTGGATTGGGAAAAAAAGGAAAAACTGGACTGCCATGAGAAGTGTAGACTTTCATACTCTGTCAGTGGAACGTATACTCAGCATTTTGCGATGAATGCACCAAATAACAATGTCGTAGCTGCAAGGGATGAGGTTCCTGATTTCCATTACGCGGATAATTGCTTCATTTGTGGTTTGAGTATAATAAAAGATGCGAAAACAAAAATCTGTACAGTCACACAAAAAGAGACGCGTGATAACTTGATTGCAATGGGAAAGGAAAGAAATGACTCTTTGGGAATTAGCGTTGTTGAAAGATTAGAGAACATTTCTTGCTTAATTCGCGTACAAGGCAGATACCACCGGACATGCATGTCTCATTTCAATGCGTATGGTTTAAAAAAAAATATCGATGATCTAAACTGGTCTAGAATCGATTCATTGTTAGAACCTGTGTGGCAAGTTCTTGAAGAAGACAAAAATGTTATTCATTATTTGTCGAAGTTAGTAGAACTTGTGGATGATGACTCTATAGATAGAAGGACTGTAGCAGATCACATTAAAAAACGTTACGGTGAGGAAGTTGAGTGCAGTATAATGGGGGAAAAGATATACGTGTATGCTTCAAAAGTCATCATGATTTTAATGTGTCAGCAGACCCATCAACTTTCACAGAAGGGCAGATGCTTCAGGCCTCAAATATAATGCACAGAGAGATTCGTAGCAAGCAATTTGTAAGCGATAAGTACCCACCGTCCAATCAATTTGTAAGCGATCTTTCCTCCGATTATCCACCCCACTTTTCGTTCTTTATTGAGCACTTTCTCCTTATCGCTGAAGAAGAGGAAGATCAAAAAGCAAAGTCTGTGAAGCGAGACATGATATCTCAATGCATACTTTCATTCATTCAGCCACGTACGTTTTTGTCCACCCTCCACTTGTCGATTGGGACACTGATTCTGAGAAAAACAGGTTCCAAGTACATCATAAATCTTCTGCATGCATTAGGCGTTTGCACTTCTTACTACAATATTGAATTGTATGAGGCTTCAACAATAGTGAATCCACCCAGATTGATAATCGAAAAACCTTTCGTACAATTTGTATTTGATAATACTGACCACAACGTCAGGACCCTGGACGGACGGGAGACTTTCCATTGTTAGGCGGAATACAGGTTTACACTCCGGAGCACGAAATCACACAATGTGGAAGTGTCGAAAAACTTACTGAGATGCCTTCCGCAAATATCCTTGCAAAGCAAGAACAAATTCCAATCTTCCCTTACGTCGAGCCGCCAAAAGAGGGTTTGAAACTTATAGAATTCATCGATACAAATTTACTGACCATGGTCGACATGCCTCTATTCCCCCCTACTTACTCAACTTATTTGTGGGCTAAATACGTTGATCCTGAGAATGTACCAGCATGGCGAGGTTTCATGGAGATATGTTCGGAAAATGAAAGTTTCCAAAGGTCGGGTCGGGTGCAATGCCAACAATTCATTAACGAAGTTCCGTCTAGTCTAACAACCATTTATACATCAATCATGCATGCAAAGAGCGAAACCCGTAAATATGGTCAAAAAACCACTATCTTAACTTACGACTTGCCGTTGTACATGAAATGTCGCGATATTATAGCGAAGTTAATGTTGCCCGACGTTTTTGTTCGCTTAGGCGGATTCCACATGTTAATGTCTTTTTTGGGAGCAATAGGTATCATGGGAGGAAGCGGACTTGAATCTATGTGGGAGCTTGCTTACGCTAGTGAATCCATAAAGAAAATGATGGACGGGCACAATTATTCAAGAGCAGTCCGAGCACACATTTTGATTCAATCGAAGAAAAAGGCGAGATCAAAAGGGTTATCGCATCATTGATGCGTGTCTGGCAGAAAAATCATCTCAAGCTAGGGGACAGTGACTCTGATAAGGACCTGAAGAAAATGTCTGATTTGTTTTATACAAAGTTGAAGCAATTGAAAAATAACGGCCCAACAGCCAAGTTGTGAGTGCAGTACATTGAAGCCGTGCTTATTGTCTTGCGTTTTATTGAAGCAGAACGTCTTGGAAACTGGGACCTTCATCTTGATTGCGTTCGAAGAATGTTGCCATTGTTTCATGCCGCGGGACATTTTCAATATGCAAAAGCAGCTCAGATTTATTTGCAGGATATGGTACTTCTACAGGACATCATGGATCCTCAAGAGTTTCACCAGTTTTCCACGCAGGGTTATTTCACTATCCACAGGTCGGATAAGGCTTGGTCCGAAATCTGGAGTGACGTGACAATCGAGCAGACATTGAATAGGTTTTTTGGGACTGACTTGAAACACGGAAGAGGTGTTAAACGGAGTGTCGTGTCTCGATATTTGCTGGGGATGCCTTGCGCCGTGCATGTGATGCAAGCATTGGAAGAGTATGGTAACCTGGAGACGAGAAACAGTGAGCAGCATGTTGATTTGGGCAAAGGACGAAAAGCATGGGACGCAAAGGACATTGGCTCATTCGTTACTTGGTTGAAGGGGCATGAACCATTCAAAGTCCGCGAGGAATTAATTTCGGTGTCAACTGGAGTTGTTGGTGGTGTGGAAATGAATTGTCATATGGCTTTCGAGCGTGGCACACAAGCAATGTGTCATATAGTTGGACGCACTTATGAAAAGGTGTCGCTGTCAAAATCGTACAAGATCAAGAATTTGGACTTTGCACGGACACAATCTCAAAAAGCTATGTCTTCCACTGTCACTGTTGATACCTCTCTATTATTTCAACGTCTGTCTGTGGCTATGCGTGGAAGGAAAGAGTTGAGTAAATCTTGCTTCGACTACGAAATGTCTCCTGTTCCACTTAGTTTGTTCGACGAGAAAGGATCAATGCGAAAGACCGACAAGTCACAGTTATATAAAATGTTCACTACTACCCTATCCTCACGAGCATTTTTTGAAGATTCTCAGTTTGTTGTAGATGGAGGATGGTTGCTTCACAGCCTCGTCTCGCCTCATAGTAAGACATACCAACGTGCAATCTTTGATATGTACAAGAACTTTCTTGTTCAGCGGTTTGGTCGGAGCGTTATTATTGTTTTCGACGGATATGAAGATGAACATATAGGTGTCAAATCATACGAGCGAGACCGTAGACAAGAAAGAAATTGTGGCGTGGACGTTGAAATTGAACCAGACAATCTCGTCCCATTGAACCAAAGGACATTTTTGTCCAACGTGAAAAACAAGGCTCAATTTGTTTATCACCTTGGTCAAACTCTTGCAACATATGAGGGATTCAGTTTTACCGTGATCCATGCGAAAGAGGATGCGGATGTTGAGATTGTGAGAACAGCTCTGAAGACTCATAACGAATCGTTTCGTCACGGGAAATCACGAGTTATAGTCGTCGGCTCGGATGTTGATCTCTTAATATTACTTATTGGACTCACTCCAACCTCAGAGAGCATGTACTATTACAAGATGGGCCAGGGGGGCAAGGCGAACCAATTGTACGATACTCGAGATCACAAACATTTGCAACCATTTCTACTTTTTGCTCATGCCTTTGCGGGCTGCGACACTACTAGCTGCTTTTTTGGGAAAGGGAAGATGAAGCTGGTGAAGTTGCTGCTGCAGAATGACAGCATTAGAGCGCTGGCGCTGAAGTTTTACGAGCCGGACTGCTTGGAAGATGAATTGCTGCAATGTGTAGAGACGATTACTCTCGCACTATACAAAGACAAAGAACAGTCTTCTTCTCTCGGGACTTTCAGATACAATTTGTTTTCTACAAACTTAGCAAAGGCAAAAAAGGAAACGCCCCCATAATGTCTCCCACCAACATCCCCTGCCTTGCTTCAGCACTGTAAACGAGTATACTATCAAATCCAGGTGTGGCTTCAGCATAGATTAGATCCCTGCTTGTGGGGATGGACAAGACAGGGTAATATTCTCATTCCGATCATGTCTGAAGCAGATCCCGCACCAAAAGAACTGTTACAAGAGGTATGTGTGAAATGTATTTAATTTGAAGCAATAAATACAACTTGCTACAACTAATTTTTACGACACTTTTGATCTCATGTACTGTCTGACCGGAATTAAAATAATTTTTGAACAATGTGAGATCCAGTTTCAAGTCAAAATAACAAATTTTTAGACTGATCTATGGAGCACTATAAAAGGCCTGTCATTGATTTCTCTTACAAGACAACTGATATTTAGATTATAATAATTGTTATGATAACCTTTTTTCAGGTTTCCTGTGGATGCCAAGGGCCCTGCAAATCGAAGCGATGTAACTGCCGAAAAGCCGGTCTAAAGTGCAACCCTGCGTGCAAAGTATGCCGCGGAAAATCGTGCAACAACTCAAAGAGATGGACTGCTACAGAACACCATGATAGCGAAACTCCGACTACTACAGATGCATGTGAGGAGGACGGTGGACAAACTACCGTAGAACCCGATAATGATGACTTAACAGAAGATGATGAGACCTCATCAAGCAGCCACGATGCAACGACCGATGACGAGGAAATTAACGAAGGACTTTAATGACTTTGACCTTCAATGATTTATCCTACTTGTAACAGATTGGGGTGAATATAACATTGAACTGTATATACTTTCAATTCTTCTTACATGCTATTGTAGGTTTCATTGGCTCAAGTGAGGGTTTTTGTACAACTATATGTGTGAAATGTAAAGTAACAAATGTAAAACAAACATATTTGAACACAAAAATAATTTGTTATACTCTTTCAAAATAGAAAATATAAAAAAATGATGCAACTTCCAATTAATGGTTTGTATATAATTTCTTATCTCGATTAAAATATAATTGAGTAATGTTTTTCCACAGCGAGTGTGCAGAGAAGATATCATCAAATACTCATCACCATCGGCCATTGTCTATTCTTTACATATCTGCGTTGGCGTAGGTCAGACCAACGTATAGACGCGGCTCAAAAACTGCTAAATCTCTTATCATGATCGTAGATTAACAACTACCGGTGATCAAACTGATTTGCGAGGATAACTATGAAAATAACGTGGAGCCTCGAAAGCGATTCTTTTGATGACTCATTGGGCTTCTACATCCTGTAATGTATTCTTATCATTGCCACTCATTTATATACACGTTCACACCTTTTTTGCAGCTGTAGGTTTTTTATTGTTGTTCCAATTCTAAATGAAAATATTATACCTCACTTATCCAGTCAATCGGTAAGCGGCTGAAGAAAAATTACTGCATCTTGTTACTCTAAACGCAGAAATTTCAAAAATTCATTAATATGCATAAGTCGGTGAACGCCACAACTACAAACGAGCTTATTATTCGAAATCGACTGGCCTATCACTGAGAGAGAGACACTGAGGACGTCGAAATAAAAAAGGATCGTTCCGCTTCAATGGTGCGGCGTCTGGCGACAGGTGTACGCGCGTCCTTTTCCCCGCAAACCCCCTCGCCAACAAGCCATCAGCAAGCTGTAGCGCGAAAACTAAGCAATTTAGCGAAAAATTTGTAGAGACCTTTATTGATGGCCCAAAAATTAGAAAAATTTTCGTGTAAAAAAATCCCAGATATCCTCAGCCGTTTCAGCGAAAAAGAGGTTTTTCGAGTTTTTCGCTGTTTTACAAAAAACGGCTGGTTTCCGGAAAACCAAATTCACACAACAATATTCGCAATCCTTTATTACACCATTACGCCAGCGGAAATAACTTTGTGGCTATGTTATCACTTTTGTCTCAGTTTCGGCTATTTAACTGGACTATCGCATCAGAACCAAAGATTGATAATAAGCCTCATGACGTTTAGGCAACATGTACAACTAAGTGCTAAGCTAGCATCTTGTAGACAAACCTACATAATGTAAAAAAAACAGCATAATGTCAAAAAAATCGACATAATGTCACTTTTCAAGATACGTGATACCCGTGCCGAGGTAGTCGGCAGTCCAACATATTATCTATTTCACGAGTATCCATCACGGTACAATGACAGTTGGTTATCTGGTAATATTTCAAAATTCCCCATATCGGCAAATGACACATCATTCTGACGGATCCGTCAATGCCAGATGGACAGAGCCATATTTTGTTTTGTT